GCCTTTAGCTTTTTTAAAATAGTGAAATACAAAATTGGATTTAAATAATTTTTTTTCTGTTTTTGTAAGGAAGAGAAAGGTGATAATTGTGCCCTTAATATTTTGTAACTATATTTCTTTTAGGTGCACAGTTGGATAAGATGGGATTCACAATTCTCAGAAAATGCATCAGCGCAGTTGAAACGCGAGGTAACATGATTGTCTGAATCCTTTTATTCATGAAAGGCTATAGGTATGTAAAATCTGAGTCATTTAAAACTCCCCTTGCATAGTTAAGTGTTACGAAGTGCCTTAATATGACATACTCATTCTGGTGTCAGAGAGTCAGTTACTCATTTTCTATGGCAATGTAGGATCTTCCTTTTTATTTATATATATTTCTTTCCTGTGTGAAGAAGTCAGTGTTGAAATGAGAATTGTGTTAGTTTGCTGCACCTGCTGTAACAAAATACCACAGACTGGGGAGCTTGAAAAACGGAAATTTACTTTCTCACAGTTCTGGAGGCTGGAAGTCCAAGGTCAAGGTGTCAGCATATTTGGCTTCTCCTGAGGCCTCTGTACTTGGCTTGCAGATGGCCACCTTCCCACTGTGTCCTCACATGGCCTTTTCTCTGTGCGTGCATGTCCTGGTGTTCCTTGTGTGGCCAGATTTCTCCTCCTTGTTAAGGACCTGAGCCCTATTGCATTAGAGCCCTGCCCTAGGGCCTCATTTTAACTTAATCACTTCTTTAAGGGCCCTGTCTCCAAATATAGTCACATTTCGAGAAACTAGGAATTAGGGCTTCAACCTGTGAATTTGGGGGGACACAGTTTAGCTCACAGGAATCCATAGAAGGGTCAGCAGTGTTGGACGAAGACTGATCTCAGTCACTTTTTGTTCAAGCATTGTGAAGATATTCATCTTCCATTGTTTTGTGGGTCCCTGTTAAAAAATATGTTTTATTGAGGTATAATTTGCATGCAGTAAAATTCACTGATTTTAATTGTACACATTGATGAGTTTTGAAGACATAGATAGTTGCGTAACTATTACTACTATAATCATAGGAGATTTCTGTTTTCCCCCAAATTCCTTTTTGCAATCAGTCCCTATTGCCTCCTTGGCCTTTACTATCACCAAGCTGCTTTTTATCACTCTAGTTCTGCCTTTTTTTCTTTTTCTTTTTTTTAAAGCATTTTGTACAAATGGAATCATGCAGTATATAGTTTTTTGACTCTGGCCTTATCTAGGTAATGTTTTTAAGACTCACTGGGTAGATCCTTAGTTCATTTCTCTTTATCACCAGGTAGTATTCCATTATATGGATATACCACAATTAGTTTATGCATTCACCTGTTGATAAATATTTGAGTTGTTTCCATTGTTTCCATTGCTTTAAGTTTAAGCAAAACTAATTCCTCCTGACCCAAAGTCCAAAAGATTTTTTTTTTTTTCCCCAGTAGTCTCTACAGAAAAATAAGGCCCTTTCACTTTGCAGCCATTCCAGACTTTGGAGAAAACAGATATTGAACACTGCAAAACAGGCTGTCTCTGGAGGTTGAAATTCTCTTTGTTTATAGACCCAGTGAAGTATAGCTAAATTGAATATTTAATTTACTCTTATATGTTGTATATTCTAGTCCTACTTTGGATGGCTTACTGGGATGAAACACTGCGTTCACATTTTCTGTCAAAACAAGGTCTTTGTTATAAAGCCAGCACTGCCCCCTGTGAAATTAGGGTGCTGGAGAACTGAAGAATAGGAGCCGTTTTATGATTTGGGGATTTGCCCGTCAATAACAACAACACAAGCCACAGAAAGCCGTATCTCCCACACTTGTACAGCGGCCATTCAGGCTGAGAGATTTTCATTTATTTCATCCTGCACTGAAGTTGAGCTGACAAATTTGTTCGTTTTCCTAGTGCTTCAAAAATTTCAGAAAAAAAAATACTATACTTTTAATCTCTTAATCAACACTCATGTTTCTTTTTTCCTGAGTTCCTTAAGTTACAGCCTTAATCATATCATTTGCATGCTTATTTATTTTGATAAATCAAATTCTTTCCCCAAAGGGTATGTTTTATACATATTTGCTTCTGCCTGAATGGATAAAGATCTATCTAGAAGGCTTTCTGATTGATATATGTAGTTTTAATGGGGTGTTACATACATTGAGTGGGATAAATAAGTATTGGAATCTGGATGTATTGAATGTGTATTTATTATAAATATGTAAATTACTGGATTTTTTAAAACAGAAGAATGGATCTATACATTTAATGCTTGATTTTTTCCATATAAAAATGAAAAGCACGTGCTTTTCTTTTCAAATCTTTTGTTCCCAAAGGTCTTCCATTATTGAAACCTTTTTTATTTTTATTTTTTAACGTTATCTAAACTTGACCATTACTGAAACCTTTTGCTTTTAATGGAGTAATAGACTAAAAATAGATTTAAAGGAATCAACAGTCAGATCATATTATTAAAATAAGGAGGAACATTGTAGACTCTCTCAGGCTTGTATCCTAAATTTGGAAGTTCCTTCAGGAAATACTGCTCTTAATGATTTCTCCCAAATCAGCTGTCTTGGCTATTGATCTTTTTTTATGCTACTGGTGTTGTTGCTTCACTTTTCTTTTCTTCTTCTTCTTTTTTTTTTTTTAAACCAGCGGGGATAAAGCTGGTTTATGGTCCTGTAATGAGAAACCCACAAATCTCCATGGCTTAAAACACAAGACTTAACTTTTCACTCAGCAAGCATTGGTTGGAGGGCTTTGCTTATCACCTGGGTGTAGGAAGCAGCTGGCCAAGTTAAAGGTGCCTGATTGCCTTGCAGAGGGAAAGGAAGCTCTGGAGGGCTTTGGACCAGCAAGTAAATGCCCTGGCTTTGAGTGAGTTACATTTGCTTGCAACTAATTGGCCATAAATATCTGCATAGCCCCACTCAGCCCCAAAGGACTCTTGGAAGCATAACCTTACTCTGAGCCTGGAAGACAGGTAGAGAGCTGGAAATAGTTGGTAAATGGCATTATTACTGCCATGTACTTCTTGGATGTGTATACCAGAAGCATTTAATGAGATCTAATTGAAGAATTATTTCTAATTACTGTTTTCCATGTTTAAATTTGACTATCGTTGTCTGAAAACTACCATTTCATATGGTTTTGTTAAAGCAGTTAGCATTTTTCTTACCCTTTTCTTTTTTTTTTTAATCTGTGAGCTTAGAAGATGTTTATTGGAACAGAAATACAAACAGAAAACCCAAAAGACAACTGTGACAATACTTAATATTTAAATGTAATTTTTCTTAATTCCTCAATTTATATTTGATTTATGAAATGTTCCATATTTTTCTATTTAAATGTAATTTTTCTTAATTCCTCAGCTTAATTTATGTTTATGATTTATGAAATGTTCCATATTTTTCTGTTGTAACTTTGTCCCATGTGTTGTACCAAGCAGAAAAGTTTTTAGCTTTTAGCACGACGTGATTTTCTCTATATGTTTTTGTGGCTCAAAGTTTTTGCGTTGCTCAGGATAAACTGGAGATCTGACAGTCCCACATTCATCTCAGGACAGATACTCAGGAAGCCTCAATCTTTGTTAATTGGATTTGCAGGAGCAAAAAATGGGCTCAGTGACTCTGTAGCAGAAACTTGAGTGAATGTAAAGATGTAGGATCCATCGCTAATGTTATAAAAGGAAATGATTCCAATGTTCATATCCAGGAAAATCCCTACTTGGTGTATCCGGGGCCTCACCCAGGGGGTAGTTAAAGGCACAGTGTCCTGGCTGAGAGGAACTCTTCATTTCTCAAGCCCACAATCCAGAAGCTAAGTTCTGAAGACAGTAGAATTGCCCTTTGTCGGTTAACAGATTCTTTGCAAACACCTCATATTCCATTCTTTGCCTATTCCCACGTCCACCTGTCAGCATTTCTGGCTAGGGGTAAACTTAGGGGAGCACAGAACACAGATTATGTGTTTGAATCTTTCGATATACTCTCTGCGATTCTTTTTGAAATATTCACAACAGACATGCCTCAGGTTATGAGAAATGGCTATGTCAACATCCAAGGTCATATCTACTTGGAATGTCAGCATCCTTGGGTTCAGGTGTAGAATAACGCTCAGTGGGGGCTCTAGTTCTTTATTCTGGAAACTATCTTCCCCCTGCTGGTAATTGTGTCTGATGTCTTTCTTCTGAGTGACCACAGAGCAGGAGGGGCACAGTAAACCCTCCCCATGAGGTTCCAGCAGAACTGAGCCAATGCGTTGGAGGCAGCAGACATATCCATAATTTAGGGACATGAGGTTTTCCAGACAAGGTAGGCAGATGAGACATTTGCTCCTTTAAGTTATTCAGCTGTGGCCATTGTGTCTCCTCCATTAGGTTCTCCTGTGTCCTCTGGATGCTTCTTCTGACAGCTCAGTTGTGGAGTGAGCTCTCCTTACAATGGGCTTTTAAGTGGGGGGTCCATCCTCCCACTTTATTCACATGCTGCTTATCCTCAGTTCAATCAGATTTTGGTTTAATCCTGCCATGTTAGATTTTTACTGAAGTCATAGGTAGATTACCAAAAACAAGGGAGATCATTTTTTTTTTAAAGGAATATAAAACCATTTATTGACCACTGTTCACCGGTATTTACAATAAAGTAAACAATATACAGTTGGATAACATTTTGATTACTACAAGGCTGTTTTTCCTGACTTCTGCAGAACCAGTAACCCAAATACTGAAAAGATTGAGCCTACATGTAAGAAATGAGTTGGGGTAAAAGGGAGATCATTTTAACGTAAGGGTTTTTAAAAGTAATGTGGACAAATATTGCCATTTTATTCTGGATTAGTCCTTGTATATTCGTGTTGATATAAGATTTGGAATTAGGACTAAAACGTTTAAAAGGAAATATTTGGCATCAAAATTAATCGTTATGAATGAGCTAGTTTCAAATAATTTTTGATCATGAAAATAAAACCTCATATTTTGATTAAGGAAATTAATCAAACTTACTCAAGAGGTCTTTCCTCAAATCATACTCATTAAACTAGTCATTTATTCAAAAGGACTTTTTCTCCAAGATTGTGAAGATCCATGTTTAGAAATTTGGTTAAAAAAAAAAAAAAAACCTGAAACTGTAATGTAATCAGGCAGCCTTACAAGGTTCTGTTGTTGTTTTGGTTACAGTATCAAAACTAAAAGACA